GAATGGGAGATTTTTGGTGCCTGCTGGTATCTTATTGTATTGCGCCTGAGGGTACAATTGCACCCATTGTCATAGCTACATAAGCTGCGGGAGGCACATTTTGGCCTGCAGCCACTCTGATTACAAGGAGGTTATCAGCCGTTGTGCAAACAACTACACCTCTTAATGCACAGCATAGTTATTCAATAATGGCTCGCAGGGACACTGCCGAGTGAAGACCTTCTGTCTGAATGCTGCTGGTGTGTGCGTCGGGCTGGGCAAGGTGCGGTCCCTGCCCTGCAGAGAATAAAACTCAGCAAAGCAGATATTTTCCTTGTAGGGTAGCTACTTTTGTATCTCTCTGCAGGTACAGGCTGGGATCACGAGGCTCATCCTCTGGCAGTGTACAGCCAACGAAGGGAAAGGCTGCTATGCCGTTCTCTTGCCTGTTGCAGGCAATGGTGGGGAGGGGGCTTAGCAGAGAGGGGTATAGGCAGGATGCTCCCATATCACTGATCCCTGGCTGCAGTTGCATCCCTGCGGGTGCATCTGCATGTTCATTAATGCGCAATAGTTACCGTGCATTTAATGTAGTACTTGTAAAGTACTAAATAAATGCACAGTAACCAGAGTTGCTGCGCAGTAGTGCCAGCAAACGCCTTTTCAGTGACACTACTGCGCAGTACCCTTTATAATACTGTGCAGTCACGTATTAGCACTGCCTGTGCTGTGACATGCTACCGTGCAGTGTTATTAGGCTGCTGCACAAGTAATGTCTCATGTAGATGCACCCTGCTCGCAGTGATATGTAGCTAGCAGAAGTACGCAGCAGCTCTTGGGGAGCTCCAGCCCAACTCCCTATGCCAACTCTCTCTGGAGGCTTGGCCCCACCCTAGACTGCAAGGAGGAGTGCAAAGGTGAGTTGGGCTTGAAGCCATTTGGACATCAGCCCTTCCAGCTGGGGTTTTGGAGCTCAGCTGTGTTCCTGGAACGTGAGCCCAGTGGTGTGGCCCCGCAGGGGGGTGCAGCCTGGAGCCTTTCCCGTGGGGCAAAGGTGTTTCTATACTATGGCAGCCCTTCTGTGACACTTCTATAGGATAGCGCTGATAAAGAAATATGCTTCTTCTCACTGGGGTTTCTAAAAATAACCCTGGGTCTCTAAGAGGGAGAGGGTTTTTTTTTTTAATCCTATTTCCTCTTTTGTCCTGTCAGTTTATTTACTTTTTGTTCCACTGAAACTATGAGTCAGACGGTTTCGTTTTCGTGGCCGCAGGCCTGCACAGTGCCCTTCGCCTCCGGCTCCCCCTGAAAGCGGGAGCTGTTTACTCCAAATAAACCTGGTCTCGGCTGAATCCACAACAATCCCCTGCACGCGCAGCCTCAGCCCTGTCCCCTCGCCTGTATTTACACAACCCACGCTGCGCTGCCCATAATGCCGGTGGGCACGTCTGGGCTGAGCGGCTTTCTGCCAGTGTAGCTCCACCAGCCTGTCGGGGGGGTGAGGAGTGAGATCCCTGATGGGCATGGCTGCACTAGCAGCAATGCAGTTATACTGGTAAACCTGTGCTTTTACTGGTCTTGCCTCTTCTGCTTGTGGGGGTGATTTTTATTATACTAGTGCGAAGCATGGCTTGGCTGGCCTAGGTGTGTCCACACTTGGGCTAAAAATGCAATACAGAGCTTTGAGGCATACCAGCAAAGGCTTCCTGTGCAGATACAGCTAATGCAGACAAAATCCGTTTTCCCAATAAAGCTTCTGCTGTTTGGTGAGTTGGTTAATGATGCTGGGGAAAGAGCTCTTTGAAGATACAGCTTGTACCAGCACTGGCAAGCAAAGTGTGCCCAGGGGGCACTGTACCAATAAAGCTTTCCTAGAGTCATCATGGCCTTTGACCCAGGCTATCCACATCCCAGTTGCAGAGGTGCCCTAGGCCTTGCCTGTCCACTGGTCACTTAGCCGGGTGTTTGCTTAGAGCAGTAACCATATTATGGGACAGCTTTGCAAAACCTCTTGGGCCTCTTTCTGCAGAGATGTTGAGCACCCCCAAATCCATTTAATGTCAATGAGAAGGCCAGTTCTCTGAAACTCCTATGCATAGCCTGTACCTAGACCTGAACTGAAATGCATGTGGGACCCATTCTTCCCTGCCCTGCACCATTTTTAAGTAAAGCACACTACATGATAATATTTGGCACAAATGCTGTCGGGAGACACTCTGGGGCACTGGTAAGGAGCTGGGCTCTGATACTTCTGGGCTAATCCCCTCTGCTGTGGTTCTGTCATCTTACCAAGAAGCTAGTCCTTGCCCAGAAAAGTTGGGGTGCAGGTCTTTTTCAGAGTGCTCGCTGTATGCTAGCTTGCTTACCTCTGTGGCTCTGACTGCAGTAGGTTTAAGTGAGCCCATGTTACAGAGTGGGAAATGGAGGCGTGCAGGTCTTATGTGACTTTGCCCATGGTTTTGGGGGGAGCTGGCAGATTGCAGTTGGGACTAGAGCTCTGGGTTTCAGGCCAGTGCCTCTTCTCTAGGCTGTGTTCCTGTGACGCTCTCAATGCCCTGTGTTTATTGTGCTACAGGAAACTTTATAGGATGCCCATTAAGATGGGACTTACAAGCGGATGTGCTCTGGAGGCTTGCTGTGGCCATCCAGACAGCCTGCTTCATGTGTGTCAAATGTCTCTGCCAGGCTCTTCCACTTGTGGAGGAATGTGGGGACACATAAGCAGAGGCAAAACTGGCAGCCTGTCTGCACTGTGGCTTTGTGCCAGTGGAGGATTTTAACTCATGACAGCAACAGCAAGAAACTCTCCCCTCCGGCTTTGTTTCACGGACCCGGTTGCCAGTTCCCCACTGACTCACTTCCTGCCTATGCGCCAGGCCTGCTCTGTTTCCTTGCATGTCACGGCTGAGCTCAGAATACCTGGCCCGCTTGACTGAGAGCTGTTTACTATCCTGCAAAGGAGGAAGCTGCTGCTGTGTCCAGAAACAAAGGCAGCCTTACCCCCAAACAACCCCCACCGACTTCCTGGCCAGGGCCTCCCACCCCACCAAGCTCTACCACTGACTTACATCTTGCATACTTATTTGTTATCAAAGCAGAGGATTGGGGTTTCTGCTCCCAGAGAGCTGGTGGGTATCAGATGGTGGTGGAGGGTAATGGCCTTTTATCACAGGAGCTGGGTTTAAAATGGGTGTCGGTGAAGTCCTTGCATTTAGTGCAGCTGGTCTGAGCTCACTGAAATGTGCCCTTGTGGCCACTAGGGTTTAAAGAGTCTTAACCCTTTTCACATCTACACAAGACACTTACTGCACACTAGCTTAATAACATTGCACAGTAGTGTGTCATGGCAAAAACCATAGCCTACTGTGCAGTGTTATTAGGCTAATGCGCAGTAAGCATCACTGAATAACCATGTGCCGGTGCTACTGTGCCATAACTCCACTTACTGTGCATTCAGTGCTTCCTTAAGGAAGTACTGAACTAAATGTACAGTATTTAAGGAGCATTAATGAATGTGTAGATGTACCCAGTCCTTTCCCTCGAGGGGAATGGAGTATGTTGCGTGCCTGCTGTGGTCCTAAACAAGTCTCTGCATCCAGGAGTTAGGCAGGATGCTGAGCTCAGACGTGAGCTTCCTGTTAGCTTAGGCAGGTCACGTTGAGGTTGCAAACCTGTCTGACCCTTGTCACTGCCAGACTGATGGGTGTGAGATCAGAAGGCATGTGATCGAGGCAGGAGCCGGGGACGGCCTCACGGTGACTAAAGCCCTGTTTGCTCAGTCTTCGGGCTCAGACCTTTCCCCTTATAGTGCCCTGGGTCATTGTGGCAGCTTCACCACTCCAGCTATTTAAGACCTGATGTATTGCTAGCAACTGTTTGGCTGGGAACTATCCTGCTTTGTGATGGTGGGTGGGGGTGGTCTTTCTTTTCTCCCTTTTATCAATGATTCTGTGATTCCTGAAAATGCATGCCAAAAGTTCAACAGCTAGCACCACTTGCACTGGCAGCACTGCCAATCTGGGATGATTAAAGCACCTTTTGTAGGGGGTGGGACTAAGGCTTAGTCAAAAACCAAGAGGCCCTTGTGCTGAGTCCCATGTAAGAGTATTTCCAGCTTATTCTCTAGCTGCCTTTCTACAAACTGAAACAAGCCCAGGCTAGGCCAGAAGAGTACCCACACGGGTCTTTGCAACTTAATCATGTTAAAACTTGGTCTCTATTCAGGGATATTAGAATGAGGCAAGCCCTAAACTGGTTCCTTGCTGCTCTTTTACATGGCATCAGGCTGCTAAAAAGCATCCCAGAGCCTGGCAGGGCCTTGCAGATCTATATGCAGACCCCATTTCTGCTGCCAATAGCCTGCTAGCAAATAAGCAGGAACATTAGTTCTGCACTGCAGTTCAAGGGTTAAGACTAATGCAAGCAGTGTCCCCAAGAAAGGGGAAAATGATGTCTGCCTCTCCTGGGTGGGGGGGATATAAGTGCAGGAGGATTGGAGTGGTGTTTTGCTTCTGCAGAGACTGGGAGGAATGGGAAGTGGTGAGAAAAGACTTACTAGGAAGACTTGAGAGAGGAGAACTTTTCTTACCAAAGAGACCAGGAGATCTAGGCCTGGTTAATTTAGCAAAACAAGGGCTGATTGCAGATGTGACTGCTCCTAGTTAATATACTGTGGGAGGAAACATGAGGAAGGGGAGGGAGCTTTTAAAACTATGGGACAGTGTTGGCAAAGAACTTGGGATATACTGAATGCCTCTAGGCTGGCAATCAGAAGAAAAGTTACTAAGCATTGGAGGAGAGAGGCTCTGGAACAGCCTTTGCATGGACTATTCATGCTGCCAGCTGGTTTTGACATATCTTGGTATATTTGGGAACAGGACTTTATGGTGCATTTGCCTGAGACAGCTGGGATCTGGTCTCTGACCCAGGCAGTCCCCTGCCCCAAGTAAGCTGGGGTAGGTGCAAGACCTGGGGGAAGTCGGGGAGCTGCCTATGTGACTGCTTGTGGTTCTGTTCCCCAGAGGACCAGGTGGCTCAGCAGACAGAGGAGGTGTTTCGGAGCTATGCCTTCTATCGCTACCAGCAGGAGAGGGAGGAGAGCACAGAGGAGATGCCCATGGATCCCGAGATTGCCGAGATCCAGCAGGAGCCAGGCAGGTAAGGCCATAGCAGGCTGTGCCGTTCATCCCTTGCCAGCCAAGCCCAACTGCATGCAGTGTTCTCCCTCTTCTAAGGGGCTGAGCCTGCCTCCCATGGGGTGCCTACCTGTCCCACATAGGAACCGGGCTTGTCTCTGACTTGTTCCATCCTCTCGGCAGTACCAGTAGCCTGGTGGGCCGACGCCTGGCCATCATTGGCGACGACATCAACATGCGGTACGACGCTGAGTTCCGCAACATGCTCAAGTCCTTGCAGCCCACAAAGGACAACGCCTACGAGTACTTCATAAGGATTGCCTCCAGGTGAGGATGCCAACATCTTCGCTGCTGCCTGGGGGATGGTGGTGGCAGATGGTACGGTACTCAGGTCTCAGTGGCAGGCACACGGGAAGGGTCAGGCTGAGGAGAAGGAAAGAGAAATGAAAGCTTTTCACTAGCTTCCTCTATGATCCCAGAGTGCTGGCTCCCCAAACCTACTCGCTGCCCCCAGCTCCTCCCACAGTACATGAGCAATTTATCCTCGGCTTTGGACTTGCTTTGTGAGCTCGTCCTGAGTTTCATGAAGCAACCCCTGAACTCTGCTTGTGTTTCCTGCCTGTCTGCTTTCGCTCCTGCAGTTACACACTCATTTTGGATGTCTGCATGTGTAAATGGGTCTTGATGACATGTGAGCACCTTCTTGAGTTGGGCAGAGATGGAGAAGCTGGCTCTCCTCCTGCTGACACCAGTGTAAATCAAGAGGGATTATGTTGGACTAGTGGCTTTGCAGTGAGGTCAGGCCAGCCTGAGGGGAGAATCAAAATCGCTCTTGGTCAGGCAATTGGCCTCGGGGCCTGGTCCTTGGAGGGTGCTGAGCAAGCACAGCTGCAGCTGGAGGCAGCTCTTGGTGCCATGAACTGACTCAATCCAGCCCATGATGCAGTGTATTGTGCCAGTCTTCTTCCTCCACAGCTGTGGTGCAGCAGGCCCAACTTTCAGATTTGAGGAGTTGCCATTGGGTGAATGAGGAAAGCAAAGAGTCAGAGGAGCGCAGGTCATTCAGGCTCACTAGCTGTGGAAGAAAAGTCATGGCTGATGCTCGGAAGCTGTGGGTGGGCAGGCAGCATGTTTCAATGGAGAAAACACTGGCCTGGATGTAATTTGCCCTCTGCCTCTCAGGCAGCCTGAGGACAGATACTGGATTCTGGCTGGAGCTGTGAGAACTGCTCGTGTGACTTGCTCCTGTGTCAGGCACAAGCCACCATGCCAGAGCGCCACCGGGGTCTGCCAGTCTTGTAGCACCAGGACTCTGTGGGTTGCCCAAGCTGCAATAAGTGACTTTGGAACTGGCACAGACCCTGTTACCAAGCCAGGGTGAAGGGGAGCAGACAGCAGAAAGAGTCGGATGCTTGTTTTTGTAATCCACAGCTTCTGCTGTGGAGCCAATGTGGAGGCTGTGATTGCCTGCCTGGTTTTGGCTGTTTCACTCTGGATGCTGTGGCTGGCAGCCAGATGTCCAAGTACTTCTGAGCCCTTGTCGCTGGATTTTATCTTATAGGTGGGGAACTGAGGTGTTAGATTAAGGGGCAACTTGCTCAGGGTCCCAGAGGAAGCCTTTGGCAGGGGTACCTGAGCCCGTCCCTGGAGTGCCAGCCCAGTCCTTTGCTCACGAGGCTGCCCTGCCTCCTTTGGCTGTGTCAGGTCTTGTTCCGAGACCTGTTCTGTGCCCAGCGAGCAATACTACCCAAGGTGGGGAGGGGGACGTCTGCTGCTCCTCAGAGCTGGAGCTCCAGGCCTTGCCCCCCTGTATGCGCCATTCTTGGTGTATGTCTAACTGTCTCTTCTGTCCTCTTTTCCTGCTCCCCTCTCATTGGGAAGCCACGCTGCACTGTCTTCGCAGCTATGCCGCCCTGAGGCACAGCCAACAGGTAAATTAACCTCTGTCACTCTCCCTCCTGTCTCTTTCAATGTTGTTGTTGTTCCTTCCTCTGCCTCTGCTAACTGCCCCCTCTGCCCGTGGCACACTCCCTGAAGCCCCAGTCTGCCCTGTGGAGATCCTCACACAGGTGAGAGTCCTGCCTGGATTCAAACCATTTCCTTCAGCTACACAGCGAGAAAATAGCTGTGCTAAACACCAGAGACCCAATCAAAAGTTAATCTGGAGTGGTTCACTAAACTGGTGCTAGACCTGCATACAGCAGGGGGGTTTGCATTATATCAGTGTTGTAAGTAAGATTGGGGGGTGGGGGGGAGGGGGTGTCTTATGGAGCTGAGTGTTGCTCAGTGGCCTCTGCCCGAAAACCATTACACTATAAAGGGAGAGCAGAATCCAGCATACTTATTTCTTTTTGCTCCTCCAGGCCCTGGAGGAATTGAGTCCTGACATGTCCAGGCCTCAGTGGGATTCAAACCTGCTTCTCCTTGTCACAGAGATGGGGTGGGGGGGTGGGCATCTGTTCAGCCTGTGCCCCCTTATCTGATGGCTGGTGGTTGTGGTGGATGGTATGTTCTGTTTTAAAAGCCCAACCGCACAGGTATTAGAGTTCGAGTGCTCATGATCCACCAGGCAGCTGTGGGAGCAGTTTGGCAAGGATGCACCCAAAGGGCTGAGATAGCCTGTGGTGCTGGAAGACGTGCCCAGGAATTGCCTGCCACTCCCTGACTGCCTGCTCTGGATCGTCCCTGGGTAGAGCAGCCCTGTGGGGCACAGCAGTGTGCCAGCCTCACCAGGTGCCTGTCGCTGCTTCTCACCAGGTGACTTGGCTTTCTTGCAGCTTATTCGACAGCGGCATTAACTGGGGCAGGGTGATTGCACTGCTGGGGTTCGGCTACCGGATGGCAATCCATGTCTACCAGCACGGGGTGACCGGCTTCCTCCGGAGCATTGCTCGCTACGTAGCAGATTTCGTGCTCCGCAACCGCATCGCCCGGTGGATTGCACAGCAGGGAGGATGGGTGAGTGGGCCTGGCTTCCTACCCTGCGGGGTGGTTGTGCTGGGCACATAGGACATTTCTGCCAGCAAGGCAGCTCAGGTGAACATTTAGGGACATTGAGCTCTGGGGGTGGCAGCACACTGAGAGAGACATTGGATGCTGCTTTGAGAGTTGAGCCACGGATGTGGACATTTGGGTGCTTAAATTCCTACTTGAGGCCCTCTGTCCATTTTAGAGTGATGATAAAGCATCATCACTGTAGTGTCTGAGCAGATCCCAGTATGGGATCGTAGCACTGTCAACTCTGTTTACAGATGGGGGGAAATTAGTGTGCAGAGACTTAAGTGACTGGCCCAAAGTCACACAGGCAGCCTGCAGCAAAACAAGGGATTTGAACCAGGTCTCTCAGCTCCTGGTCCTTTGCCCATCCTTCCTCTTTTAAGGGGTGACCATGTTCTGAGGAGGGCAAAGCAGTTGAAGCTCCACTACTTCGGTGGGAATTGTAGGTCTTGGGTCCTCTGCAAATCCAGCCTGTGGAAGCCACATCTCAGGGCGGGGCAGGGCAGTGGCTGATGTCCTTTCACTGGTGACTTAGAGTTAAGTTAACCCCTTAGATGCTTCAGACACTTCCGCTGCAAATGCTCTAGAGCTGGCGCTGGATGTTGAAAACTGGCTCGCAACTTTCTGAAGTGGGTTACTTCATATCTGCAATGATGCGAGTGGGATTGGAATACACCTCGTTCTGTCACAGGACAGAGCGCTAGCCTGTGTTTAATGATGCTGTCACCAAGATCATGGGCAGGGCATCCCAGAGATGGCCCAGAGGGTGGCTGGGTGCCCGGGAGTGCCAGCTGAGTCAACAGTTATATCACCCTGTTGCTGCTAGTCTTTCACCCAGCTGGTAATGCTCTCCCGCCAGGTGGCAGCATTGGACCTAGACAACGTTTACCTGAAGTACATGATGATCGTGCTGATTGCGGTCCTGCTGGGACAGTTCGTGGTACGTCGCTTCTTTGGACATTGACCGTCATGGAGGCGGAGGCCGAGGGTCCGGCTGAACTCTCAACACTCCGCTCTGTAACGACATCTCCCAAGAGAGGGGCTCGGGGAACCACAAAGGGAGATCTGCTTGGACCTACGACCTCTCTTCAACAAAGCACCAGGTTTTCTACCATCCATGGAGAGACTCTCCCAGAAACTACTCGGAGGCATTGCAGGGGGGACAGAGCAAATGCCCTGCTCTTTCCTATCTCATCCAGCTGTTGAGTCCTGGAGCAAGGGCCTTCCCAGTGGGCAGCAACAAGGGAGGGGTTCCAGGCTCCTCAAGTACAAAGAAACCAGAGAAACCCCATTAGAGGAATGAACACCCTGTTACCATAATGCTATTCTCCTTGTCTGCTCAATGGGGTTCTCGCATGCTTCTTGCAAAGGGCACAGATCCCTGTGTTCTCCAGTATCAGCCTGGACCCCACCTGCACTTGTACAACAGAATTATAAGTCACAGGAGGAGGCCAAGCCATGCGGGTTTTGCTTGTAGCTGCCCCACAGCCAAGCTCAGATACTCAGCCTTACCAGTTCCTTTTAAAAAGCACCCTGCCTGCCTTTTTAACCCAACAGAAGATTACTGGCATTCTAGGTGCACCCCAGAGAGTGATGGGTAGACTCTTCCTGCCAGAACTCAACTCTGGAGATGTGTGTTTTCCCCACTAGCATCACAGACATGGGGTGGCTTTTGCTGGTCATGAGCCCTTACAGATGCTTCAGCCTTAATGTGCTGGCAGGTATATCAAATGAAGAGCTGGTATTGAATAGTATCAAATCAGACTTCCTGAGAAAGGACAGACAGCAACTTTCTCAGGCAAACCTTTTTTTTCTTAAGCCTTACTTTCTGCAACTAAAGTGGAAACTGAGATATATCACCCCCTGCGTCCCTTCAGAAAATGAGCAGCAGGAAGCTTAGGAAGTGGATCCATTCTTTACTGCTGCAGCTCGCTGCAGATTGAACTTCAGGTGCCCCTGAATGTCCTGCTGGGTTCTTGCGCACCTTCCCAGGGCTGCTATGTCTCGGCAACCGACACTGTAGTGGAAGGGCTTTCAGTGGAGACTCCACCTGGCAGAGCCTCTTGACCTGCTGCTTGCACTTCTGGTCAGGATTAGAAAATTGTAAACAACTCCTTGTCGGCTGTCATTCAGAGAGTGGGTCCAAGCAGATCCTGACTCTGAAATCCTTCTAGCCTTTGAGGCCATGGGTCCCATATTTGAGTGTGAGCCCAGTGCCTCGGCCATTTGTATTCCTCACTTCTGGTTACTGTGTAAAGCTTGAAACTGTGACTGCTGTGTCCACCTCTGGCTCAAACTAGGCCTAAGCCTGCTTCAGCCAACCCTGTTTTCTAGCATGGTTGGGCCAGTTCAGGGAGGACCAAATCCCCAGCTGAATGACTTCCACGGAGTAAAACCACCTTTGACTGGCTGAGGATCTGGCTCCCTGTCCCAAGGCTGCCTAATCTTGGGGACTGCATAGAAAGACATGGCAATGCTTATAAAACTTAAAGTATGAAGTGCTGTTATCTGGGACTTTTCCATTCTTGCGTCTTTGTTCAGTCAGGGCAATGCGGGAGCTCTAGAGAAGAGGCAGTCGAGATGGTTAGAGGGATGCTGTGACTCATCTTGGTGGTGATACTGGATCTGTGTTGCTGCTGTCCTGACCCTGGCAGTGACCAGCACCAGATGCTTCAGAGGGAAGTGCAGGACCCCTACAGTAGGCAAATGAGAGACCATCCTCACCCCTCCTTCACTGCCATAATAAAGATCTCCCTTAGATCCCTAATAGTTAGAGACAGGCTTTAAGCCTGTCTCTACACACTTACTACCCCATAAAGCAGCAGTTCTCAAACTGGCAGGTTGCACACCACCAATTTAAAAGGATACAACCTTAAGTACCACCAGCAAATTTTTGTCATATAAAGTAATTATAATAAATCTGACAGTGTATGCGTACTGCAGATTGGGAACCATTGCCATATAGATGGGGGTCGGACTCGATGATCTATTGAGGTCCCTTCCGACCCTAACATCTATGAATCTAAGATTCTGATCCTCAATCAAACCACGTGGCAGGGAGCACCACAGCCCGACTGCTTCATTTGCAAATGATCTTGCCCTTTTGTCGGTTTAATTTCGGCCACTGTCCCTCATCAGTGTGTGAGGATGCAGGGAGAAGAGCGGCTTCAGCTGTGCTTCCCTAGGCACTTTGCTTGTTAATGCTTTTTATCACAGCTTTCATGTTCCTGTCCTTTCTTTAAGGGGAAAACCAGCAGCCACTTCAATCTCTCTGCATACAAGCATGTTTTCCCCATCCCTTCTTTCTGTCTTCACCTCTGAAAACCCCTACCCCAATTCCTTCATGTACATTACCCAGATGCATGCAAACTACTGACTCATAGATGGGCACTCTGATGTTTTCCACCATGTTCTGCCTCTCATTTCATATGTAACCTGACCTGCCTTAGTTCTGTGCTGAACAGAAATCATCACTGAACTGTCTCCAGGGATCCTCAGGTCTTGTTCCTGAGCTGATGCGTTTAACTTCAATGCCAGTTAGGTATGCGTAACCAGGCGGGGTTTTCTCTCCGTAACATGTTGCTTTTTACTTGCCCACACACAGCTTCACTGGCTGTTCAATTGCCCACTTCTCTAATTTGAGTAGGTGTTTGCATTTCCAGGCTGTCGTCTTTGTCCTGGGCTAACCTAAATACTTTGGCCTCCCTCTCCTATTTACTACCACAGAACTTTTTTTTTTTTTTTTTTTCTGACAAATAATTGCATTCAGACGCCACTACATGTGGGGAGGAACCCGAGGCATCTTGCTCTGATGAAAACTGACCACTCATTCCTAATCCTTTTCTTCCTCATGGCTTTGCCAGTTTTTTGATTCCTCCTGTTTTCCTCCATGACTGCTTGCCTCTAGTAGCTTCTTGGTGTGGGACCTTGTCGGAGGCTTTTGGAAATCTCTGAATTATGTGAGCTTGTACTGGTACATTGAAAGTACCACTGATAATGTGAGAGTTACACTGATGATGAGAGAGGATCTTTTTGCAAACCCCATGCTGGCTAGATCTTCTCCTGGTTTGGTGTTCTAGAAGTAGTTGGCCATTTTTAATGGTTTCATCTGGTTTCCTAGATACTGGCAGATGTTTGGGAGACTATGGGATGCAACTCCAGCCCTAGGAGAAGCCACTAGACCTGGACTGAGAAGAGAGCTTTGAAAACTGAACCTTTGCCTTGTTGTAACCTCTGTTTCCCCCCCCCAAAATTCAGGTGGTTCCTTTGAACTTCTGCTTACTGTAAGAATAGGCTGTGGGAACTTTCCTGCATTCCTCCACTGCTCTGAGCTGACTCTCCTCTGCTTAGAGAGTAGTACCAGAGTGGAGCAGAGAAAACAGGTTTGAACAGGGAGATGCTTATTTAATTGCTGATATGCAGTACTGTATCCAGCCACAGGATGGCAAAATTGTTGCACATTCGCGCAGGTGCCCCTGCAGCAGCATGATCCCAGGGGAAGACTAGAGAAGACTGTACCTTTTTAGTTTAACTCCACAGGGAAGGTCTCATTGAATGAGACAATCCAATGGAGACAGCTGCCGAAGGGATTTTATCATCAGCCGTTTGCCAGCCTGGCCTTGATGCTTCACTTGCTGTGGTCTAAATCCACTAGCAGCTTGTTCTAGCTCTGCCTTCTGGGCTACTTTAAAGGAAGAAAGCCGCCTTCATCAGCTGTTTGCGTAGCTTTTAGTCAGGGAGGCATGGCTCATGGGACTGGGATGGACTACGGCAGTTCCCTGTTTTGGATCTGCTGGTTCAAAAGCAGCCCTGGAGAGAGAGAAGCAAAACTACTTGGTGACTGCTGCTCTTTTCCCACAGACTATTGAGTTTTAGGATCTCAGTCTAGTGAGCCATCTACCTTGGACCCAACACAGTAGGCTGTCTCAAGCAGAGTATGGGACAGGAAGGCCTGGAGAATAATTGCTCTGGGAATTTTTCTCCGCTACCTGTGCAATACAGAGAGGACATCTATCCACAGGTCTAGCAAGGCCAGCAGTTCCTTTTTCTTAGAAGTTGTGGTCCTTGCACGGAGGACATAAAAACAGCTCAAGGGGAGCTAGTCCTTGGGCAAAGCTTCTAACCACTGTGGGACTAACCTAGGGGAAAATGTGGCTAAGCTACTACAAGGGCACCACCTCATAGCTTATGCTGCCTTCTGTGTCTGGAGGAGGAAGAAGGCACATGGGCACTGAGAGAGGATTGCTGCAATCTAAGTTCTCTGCACTGGGGAGGGGTTAGTATACCCTGGCTAGGGCCACCAGGCTTGCTGTATCCTATCCCATCCCTTTCATCCCCCTTATGGCAGGAAGCAGGAGCTGGCTCCATGCCAGCTAGAGGTTTGCTCAGGGCTGGACTGTCTCCAGGCAAGGGAGCAGGCACATGGTGTTGGGGCAGGCAGCTGGGCAAAAAATACTGATGTGAATAGAAGCCAAAAGGGAAATCCAAATCGCAGCATTTAATAGGAGGTATGAAAAGGGACAAGAGCATAAGGGAAAAGTTCCTCCCCACTACTGAGCCTGGTCAATGGTACCTGTTCTCCCATGCAGCAGTGGTTCTTTATTCATGGATGAAAGCAGTAGCTCAAGCTAAGGGATCACTCATCTGACCTACCTCCCTTCCAGACACTTCTCCAAACCCTGTGCTGGGACCTGGCACTGGTAAGAAGCCAGAAACACATGCGTGAGGGTGGTGACACTATGGAGCCTGGGGCCAGCTGGGGATCCTCCTGTCAGCCTGAGTTGTGGGGCAAGACATGGTGCTGTTTCAAAGGGGGTTTTCTCCTGACTAGCGGCAGCTGACTGTGAAGCTTTGTGAGGGTAGGGTTTTGCAGGTATACTTGAAGCCATATTGTAGCTATTATAAGTCTGCTTGATCTTTTTATCATGTTCTTGGAAGCCTTGGTGTTCCACAGAGCCCCTCCCCACTTAGCAGCCACTGTAGAGGGTACCTAGGGACACCCCACTTCCCAGAGTACCTCCCACAATTCCTGCTTTCCTCCCACACAAATGGGGCAGAGGGAAGAAAGGGACAAGAGCCTTGACAGTAGGTGTGCCCTAAAGAGGGGGGACTTTTTCCCCACCTCTTTTTTTAATTCTCCATCCCATCCTCAATGCTGGCTCTGTGGCAAGAGGGGCCTGTGGAACACACTGAACTGTCCAACTGGAAAACTATTTGCAAATCATTCTTTTTTTTAAAGTTTATGTAATATATATTTTAAAATAAAGGTATGCAGTTCCAGTCTTCCCATGAGTGGGTGGTATCTGAATGTTTCTTGCAGTTCTCTTCCATGGCTGGGCACTCAGCTCATCTGGGGGAGGGCTGGTAAGGTGGACTATCGGGAGCCAGTACTGGGTCTCAGTTGGGCTGGGTTCAGTTCCTAGCTGTGCCTCCTCTTCTGTGATCTTGGACAAATTGCATCGTTTCTCTGTTTTACTCACTCTAAATGGGGATAATGATCTTTCCCAGCCTTCTGGGGTGCCAAGAGATGAAATCCATAAATGGCCGTGCACTGTGCCTAAAAAGGCCTAAGGGTATCCCATTGAGCAAAGCTGCAGCAGGCTGGCTAATCCCAGGCCTCCTGCTTGTGGATCAGTAATGCACAGCTGCTGTTCCCTATGCTTGTTGCCAGGGCTGGATCACAATCACTTCCCTTGTGCTTCCTCTAGCTTGCTGATGGAAGGGTGCAAGAGGCACAGGCCTTTTCCCACAGTGCTGCAGCCACATACAAAGTCCTACCTAGGGACTTGCTGCTGCATTAATCTTTTCACTTGTGAGCACAGGAAGGAGCTTTCCCACTTTTAATTATGGGAGTGGAACTAGGACAGCAAGGGAGTGGAGGCCCAGTTCAGAGATGGCCTCTCTCCCCTCATCCCTGCAAGAACTGCTGCAGTTCTCCCCTTCTGAGCAGAACCACAGTACCTTCCCAAAAGATGTGGCACTTTGCTCCAGACATAGACTCCTGTGTCTTCCACCTGGAAGCAAGAATCTGTGAGACCCCACCCCGCAGGGACACATCTCTTATCATCTCACCCAAAAGCATCTCTTTCCCGCTGAGCCTCAGAAACCACACCACCCTTAAGTCTGCAGTGGAAACAACCAGGCACTGCCATCCCTCACCAGGTGATAGGGAAGCCAGGCTGGCTGGTAATGCCAGAAAATAATCCAATGCAAGCTTTGAGAAGCTGAGTCCAGCCAACATGGAGGAAGTTGCTGCACACCCCAAGCACCCATTGCTAGGAGTGTGAGGGTGGAGAGCCTTTCCGCTCAGCCAGAGGCCCCCTTTCCAGGCAATCTGTCCCCAAAATTCAAAAAGGCCAGGGCAAGTACAGGCTGGGGAGCTCTCATTGCTGCAGCTCAGGCTTTCTCCTCTTCCACCTCCAGGGCTTGGTTTTCATAAGCTTCTGGTGGCAGCATCTTTGTCCCTGGGGACCATGCCATAGGTTGCCCTTGTTCCTGCAGTTCTTGTTCTGGGGACTGTCCGTCTCCTACCAGCTGGTGATCACTTCTGTGGGGGCTGGTTGCCAAAGCGCAGCAGTGTCTGTTCCCTGTCCCATTCAGGAAACTTTCAATGGCCGAGGCGCAGTCCAACCTGTCCATGGCCACCATGATGTTGTACAGATCCTTCAGGCTCCCATTATGCTCCTCAAAGATCTCCAGGGTAGCAGCTGCTGGGCTTTGCTGGCATGAGAAATACCTGCCAGGGGGAACACGGGTCAGTTGCCCAGCACCCAGGCTTCCCCACACAGCCTATCAACAGCCTTTAGTAACACCAAGACAACGAAGCACAATGGAGAGGGGACAGGAATTGGGACTCGGTTCTGATCCAGGCTCTGCCACTGTCTCACTCCTTTTGTCTCTTTGGGAAAGTCACTTCCTCCTGACTCAGTTTTCCCATTTGTTAAAGGGACTTGGCACCACTCATCTGCTCCTGTACAGAGGTGAGGTCTCTGCAAATGCTAGCTGTTACTACTCATCAAACAAAAGGTTTAAACTAAGATGGAGAGAGACTGGCCCCAAGTCAGTTTTTTCCTCCACGGCACTTTGACTACAAGGGTAGATCTTTCCTTAGCAGAATCAGAGCAGGAAGGTGAATAGCTGTGTGTATGTGTGGCTAAATGTGCAGGCTAAATGGGAACCTGGGGCATGAGTCAGTCTGCTGTGAGTGGCAGGCTGCTGGACCTGTTCCCTGGAAACCAAATTCCTCCCTCCTGCTTCTGGTACTGGAGTGAGAAGTAGATCATTTCCCCTGAAAAACATGAGCCAGAGCTCGTTGATATGTCTACAGAACAGGCAGCCCACCAAGCTGGCAGATCATCAGGTGGACCTGATGATCTTGTGAGGTCCCTTCTGGCCCCTAACATCTATGAATAAGAAGAACAGAAGAGCCAGGGGATAGGTCTGATGAGAGGATACTTAACTGAGGATCCTTGCAAAATCCCATCCTAGTTTTCCTCTTGCAAGCTTCTCAAGTGTCCTGAGAAGGCCGCCACACTTATGGATAACGCATGAGGTTCCCCTTCTTGACCTTCCAAAGCATATCTTAGTCCAGAGTCCCAGCTATTTGGTTAACTGTCACAGGAAGCCCGAATAGGGCAGCAAACAGACCAAACCTTTCAAAGCAGACTAGGGGATTTAGGCAGATTCATTAAAGTTAATTAATTGGAGATCTGTCAGGCCTTGAGCTCTTAACCATAGCTTTTCCTGTGAAAAGTAGATTCACTCTTTAACCTTCCACTCCACCTGATGCAATAGTTCATCAAGTTACTGGGCAGCACTGCTACCAGTTCCCTAATGTTCAGGATTATCTGGAGAAAGAGTTAATTGAAAACTGGCCAAGGCACACGTGCGTGCGCACAGCTACATTTCTAGGAAGGGGCATCATTTCTAAACTTCAGTCTGATCTTCAGAAGTGCAGAGCAGCCCCTGGCTCTGGTTGGATTCTCATCAAGATAAGCTCTAAATCAGCCCATGCATGTGTCTCATTCCAGGCCTATGGAGCTGTCAGCCAGAGGACTATATTATGGTAGATTATACCCAAGTGCCTCTTTACCTTGGATATTTGTACTGAATGCCTTTGTGCCTTGACTCAGACCTCTGCCAAAACAGTCTGAAGGAGCTAGAGCAAGACCCCACTCCATTGCATTGAGTAGCCTCTTTCTTTCTTGCTCAAGCTCCCTCCTCATATTTACTACATCGGTCCCAATCAACAGTCCTAGCCTTCTCTGCCCCTCAACCCCCTAGCTTTCAATGGCTTTATAAGGAGCTGCAGGTACTCAGCACAATTGTAAATATGGGCCATACCAATGATTCAAGCATGGAATAAGACTGACCTACGTGCTCTAGGACCAGCCTCAGATTTCATGAACCATCCTCTAGGACTCCTGATATTTCAGAGTGGTGTGCAGCAGGGCTGAGTGTAAGACCGCTACATTCAAGCATGCTGTAATACCATCACCTACCTGACCTGCCCCAAAGCCCGGGGGCCCTTATCTCTGATGCAGCCATACCTCCTTGGCCAAAAACAATCAAGAAATGAAATTGCAGGTGAAAACTAATTAGCGAGGAACATGCTGTCCAGCCATAAAACACTTAAGGGAATGAAAGGGCTTGATTGTTATTCTTATCAGGATTGTTATTCTTATCAGGATCATTTCCAACATGCACAAGAGGAGGGGAAGCATTACACAGCCAGAAGCAATTATGTATTTAGAGCAGGGGTCAGCAACATTTTTGGCTGGAGTGCCAAGATCATCCCAACCTCCACCCACACCTTGACTTGGCGAGCCAGAGATGGGGGAGCCACAAGGGCCCCAATCCTCGTTGCTGGCACTGGCTGCATGCATGCGCCTAGGCGGACAGTGGGGAAGGAGCCAGAGTTGCGTTGCTCCGGACCCCACAGCTGCCACAGCCACAGAACTCGTGCCAAGGCTGTGGAGCTCCATGCAGCCACTTGCAGCCTCCCCGGGCTCTGGGCAGCTGCTGGGAGAAGCTGCCCAGAGTCTGGGTCGGTTTTGGTTTGCCAAGGAAAATGGCTTTGCATTGCCGATCCCCGATTTAGAACATAGATGAGCGGGCTGCTCCTCGCCGGTTTTATCCAAGACTGCCAATAAGACAGCAAGATTATATGCGACACAACTTCAGGCTTCAGCCAAATCCAGCAATGCTCTCAGCGAGGCACAGTGGCATTTCTCCCATTCCCTCTTCCCCACCCCACACCCTTCTCTTTTAGCTTGAGAGGAGATTTGGAAGTACCTGATTTTCATACCACACAGGCCCAACCTGGAAGCCAGCTTGCGCCAGTCATTCCCACTGATGCTGTTTGGCTCCAGCAACATCTGCAACTGCTCAAAGAGTTCCCGGGGCATTCTGGAAGAGGGGGGGACACCAGCATTACTCAGTCCAAACCGGCTACTGATGTTCCAAAGAACATGGTGGCCCTGCTGCCCAGTGCTCTGCCTCTTCTGCAGCCCACCCTCTGCCTGTATAGCTCTGGTTTGCCAAGGACTTATCAGCCACCACACTGCTTTCAGGCAGAAGGGGTGCATTCACTCAGTCTGCTACCTGGACAAAAGGGATGTGGACCACTGCCTCGGAGATGGAAGATACACCGCCTTCCATAATCAATAGGAATCGCTTCATGCGTCAGTTATCTGCATGGCGCTGGAGTGCAGGTTTCTCCTAGTCTGAATTCCTGGGATTTAGGACTTCTGCTGGAGTTTACTCCCCAGCTGTGCCAGTCACCTTGGTAAAGGGGATGAACAAATAGGCAGACAGCATGGACAGCTCTCCCAGTTCCTCTAATCCCCGGGCACAGTGTAGGAGCCCTCACTAAGGAAGCTCTGTGCAAGAGCTGCTGCGGAGAGCTAGCTGGGAGGAGCTCACTACTGCAGTGCCTGCCACCCCAGAAGCAGGGCAGGAAGACCTTGTGAGATGAGACTACCTCCCACCTACAGCTAGATGCCCATTACAAACCACCTCTCTTTAACAGACCCACCACTCACCTGTTGCAAAGAGGGGAAGAGGAGATTCGGGTCATCTGTGACCCATTTTCTGGGGCTTGAAATCTCAAGATTTCCATATACTTCTTCTCCAGGCCCTGCAGGCAGAGGACAGATATAGGCAGAGTAAGAGTCATTTCCCCAAACTGTGTCCACCTACACCATGCCCTCAAGGAATAGCCTTCATAGGGCTGGGTCACACTTTGCTGCACAACCCCGGTACTGGGTCAATGGAGAGCCTGATTCTGATCTTATGCAGGTGTAAATCAGGACCAACTGCTGCGGTCAGAAATGTTACAACAGAGGCAAGAAGATCCCAGGGGGTTCATAGGCAAAAGACCAAGCCAGTATGCAGTTGGGAGGGGGTGTCAGACCAGTCTGGCAACATCCAATTAGAGAGTCAAGGCTAGAAACAAGTGAGTATCAGCATTTGGGTGTGTGGTTGTACTTGTTGATGCTACCTGCACTCATGCAAGAAAAGGACCCACCCCTCACTATTACACACCCAGAGAAGGGGGACAGCTGGTGTGAACTGCCATAGCTCCATTGCCTTAGGAAAAGGCATGTTAATTTAGTCCATCTGTAAGCCTGGGCCTCTGGAGCTATCAACTCTTCACCTGTGCTAGCTGCAGGTCTGTCCTCCCCCTACAGGGCCCTTTGCAGCAAGTCTTTGTGCTGTTCTAGATAGGGAGTGAGGTTTAATTGCTCAGACGGGTGGAGAGCTCAGTGTTTCTGTATACTTTTTCAGGAGTAAGGTAGCCATTGGGTCTGGGAAAGAGCTACCTTCTCCCTAAGAGCAGTCTGTGTTAGGGTGGATGAATGGCCTAGTTAGCTCATGGGCTGGGGAAGAGAAGGCAGCTTCCTTGCTCTGTCTGAAAATCCATGCTGACTGGAGGTACATTATTAACCCACAGCCTGCCCTCTCTCATCCCTCAATATCCACATGGGTTTTATGGTTTGGGAGTCTTGAAAGATGTGGGGTGCCTGGTTTTATTTGCTACCCCAGGACCCCGTGAGCATGACTGAAGCCATGTATAACTTGTGATAAGGGTAAAACTGCCTTGCCAGAAAGTGGAACAAACCCCATCACCCTCTATGTTAGTGATGAATCCTTTTTCTGCAGCAAGTGGAAAAGACAGTCCTCTCTCCTAGTGGAGCTCATCCAGGCTCCCCTTACAGGAAGCAGTCAGCTTCCCCAACTTCACTGGAGTTGTGTAGGTGATAAGGGGGTCACAGCCGTGGAGGAAGCTATGGGATCTCACTGAATTCAGTGTCCCCTGGTTCCCACCTTCTATCAATACCTTGATCACACAGTGGCCAAACTGGTACTTGGGAATCGTTATGGTGAAACCCATGTGAGATCCGAGTGTATTCCCCATCCCGCTATCTCATCCCAAGTGGCTAATTTAGCTGACACATACAATCTATACACAAACACTCATTCTATACATAAACCCTGCCCCTGTTTAATCTCTTTGCCCAGCTGATGGTTAAACTTTAACAAAAGGTAAATGGCTCTGATAAACCAGCCAGCTGCTCTTGTAATCCACCAGGACTCCTGCGGGGCGGGGCGGTATTGCTCATTAAAATTACCAACAAAAAATAAGGGTAAATCATTTTAAAGCTTCTTTTTTGATCATTTACTTACACTTGGCCCTGGACCAGAATTTGGGACCCTGGAACCATTGCATATTAAGCAGTTTAAATCCAGACTGAGGCTCTCTGACCAGTTCCTTGCCTCCCTAAAGGACAGTCTCAGACTCTGGATCTGAGCTGCCCTGAGCTTGGAGGAGATCCAGATCCATGCTACTGCTGCTCAGAGTTTCTCTCATGGGAAATGGCCTCCTTTGTGTGTCATAAGTGTTTTCTGAGAGAGAAAAGGCTGAACCACGGTTCTGGCTGGCATAGAGGGATGGAAGGATTAAGAAGTGACCTCAAGCTCTTGCCTCCCACACAATAAAATCCATCCTGGTCCTCAGCATGTCATGACTGGGGAATGCACTCAAGGCCAAACACAAAAAGATACACAAGTGCAAGCTCCTATTTAGGTACCTTTTTTGGATCTGGTCCTCAATACCAGAGAACACCACAGATTGGTATAGACCCATATTTCCACCTTGATGCTACAGTGATGCATGCATTACCATTGCATGTATTAGATTAAGTAGTTAGATAAGCTAAATAGGGTATGTATGTACAGGTGTTTGGCAGATATTCACATACCTAAGATGCCAATGGACTAATCTACCAGGTAGCCTTAAGTAGGGTAAAGAGACAGATTAGGTAGCCAGGTTTAATTGATAATCAGGTAGCTAGATTGAGCAGGGAGATTGCTACTCAGGCAGAAGTGCAGGACTCACGCTCTGGTAGGTGTGCATTGTCACAATGATTTCACCACTAGGCACAGCCCCTTCTTCATTCTGAATAGTTCAAAGGGAAATTAAAAAAGAGTTGTGAAGAAAGCAGGTCTGAGAAAATGAATTCTCCTCTCCATAAACCCCCAGCTCAGCATTAATGCTCCTCGGGACAAAGAAGAGAATTAGGAACCTGTTTTTCCTTTCTCTTGTGCAACAAGTATTTGTGCTCTATCCTTCTGCAATGCCTTTCCTCCTATTGGCATTCATTAACTGTCCCTTGCAAGCCCCCAGGACAGTGCCCCAGGAAAGTGGGCATTTATTGGCCCCATTTTGAAGATGGTGAAATGGAGGCACAGAGAGGGGAACAAATTATAAGAATATAAATCAGTCTCTTGTTCTAACAACTGCCAAGACCCCTGGAGGTAGGGAGTGAACTCGGGGGGGAGCAGCAACTCCTGTTTTAACCACTACCATGCTCCTTGGAGGGATTTTTAAAATCACATAGTAAGTTCTGAGCAATGAACAGATAGGGCCATTTGCACAGACATAGCAAGGGGGCTACCTGCTTCCTCCGGAAACAGAAGGAACGAAACGGGCATCTTCCATGCCAGATGTGGAGGTGGGGGACAACCTGGCAGCTACTGTCATCCACGTTTTCCCAACCTGCAGGGGGTGAAATGGTTCCAGTGAAGCTCTGAATGGCAGTAGTGGCCTCACACTGAGGTACACCTCCCTGTTATTTAATTACCCTGCAGATTTCTGTACTTCTTGCATCAAAGCACCAAGACATGACAGTGAGATTCCTGACTAAAGAGGAGAGATCCTCTGCAAACAGCTAGCATTCCCTATAGCCTCAAGATAGTGGAAACTAGTGCAACCCTGCTGACTTCAGTGGATCTGTGCTGGTTTATACCAGTAGAGCCTGTAGCTCTAAAAATCTCTCCTTTGCCACAGCTCCGTGTACAACGTGGTAGAAATTTTCTTCTCTTTGGTTGTTCGAAAGATCTATTGCAGACCATGGAAGAGACATCTCTAGGGCATGACACCTCCTGACATTCATGTTTAGGCACTGTCACAACAGGTCCAAGTCAACAGGGTTTTTGCTAGTTAGTTATCAGGGAGCAAAACAGGAGCTGGCAGGATATTATTTTTATTTAATTGCTAATAAGAACAAACAACTCCTGGAGCTTTAGCCACATTTTCTTTGCTCAGTCCCTGTAGTTGTAGCACCTGCCTTGAAAACTCCTGGCCTTTCATAAAATCCAGCACAGAGCCAGTGTGGCAATTTTCTTGCCTTGGAGGACACATGCCCAGAGGCAAATATTATCAGTCTATTAGTCTTTGTTATCTCTGGGTGTGCTGGCACAAATGGATTGAAATAAATGGGCTTTTAGCTAAAAGGAAATATGTATGACTGGATTTCTCAATGATTCCCACTAAACACCTCCCGCATTTCCTATAGTAAAAGGGCTTTATGATAGAACTGGAAGGACAGCTCATAACAAGTTATTTATTAGGCCAATCTTCCTCTTCATGAATCATCCACGAGGAAGTCATTTTTTCTCCAATTTATTCATCACTCCAAATCCATTCTCCCAACCATCTCTCATTAATCCCTGCTGGGGAGCATTTTGAACCCAGAACATTGGACTGGATACAAGGGCCATGCAATCGGTTCTTCCTTCAGGACTGGATGTGCATAACTTGTTGTGTCAGATGGCAGGAGTGAATAGCTCTGTAAAGCTATGAGGCTTGAACCTGATGCTCTAGATCGAAAACAGCAGACAGCAATCATGTCTGAGTTAGGCGGGTTGGGTTAGGCAGGCTACCTTTGCATTCCCTCTCCGCAAGGATTCCCTAATATTTGCTTGTAATCAGCTTTCCATGAACATCCCTGCCAGCTGACCAGTTCGTTAGAAAAGAACATTTGAGGGGAGTGAATGGGTGTCAGTCCTGGAAAAGCATGTTCATGTAGTAACAGAGAGAAACAATTCTGGAACTGTGTTGGTGGTATCTGCCCAGCTCTGTTCAGTATGACTGGGTTTCTTCCTGTCCCTGAAAGATGGGACAAATCAAGCACTTTCTACCTAGATAAAAGCCCTGCACTGACGGGACCGATTCTGCATTCACCATTTCATCCTGCTGATCTCAGCACAACCGTTTCTGATTTGCAGTGCAGAACCAGGGTCAAGGTCTAGACAAAGGAAAAGGAAGGAGGTCTGGATGGCCTAGGGCTTGTATAACAACCTGACTGCTGCTCTAAGGCACACCAGCACAATCCTGCTAACTCCATTAGTATGAACAGAACATGGCCCTTCATCTCTAGATCACTAGTTAAAATCCAGCCCGGGTGCAGCCACTGCTCTTACCATCCGAGAGGTACTTGAGAGCCAGGCACATATCCTTGGTCCTGCCAGTGAAATCGAAGATCTGGACTGGGCCACAGAGGCCTCCTCGAAAGGGCTGTTCATTGGTAACTGCCCACTGCAGGGCACAGGGTGTGTTGTTGAGGAAGTATATGCGGATTTGGAAGTGAGTCTGGTCAGCAGCTAGTGGGGAGCAGAAGATGGCCAGCTGCAGCCACTTCCGAGCCTCCACGTTCCATGGAGCTTCGAGGACACAGGTGTAGAGGCTGTGGGGGATCCAGACAGCAGGAGAAAGGGCAGATGGACAGAAGGGTTAAAACATGGACTGGAAGGATCCTACTTTGCACCAATAAAGGGTGGAATCAGAGAAGGTCCTGGGAATTGGGCCCATGGGCCACAGGAGTGGACACCACTGTCTGTGGAGAGGGAGGGAGGAATCCTGTAGGGGGAAGAGGGAACAAGGAAAATCTCTATCTGGAGGTGGCAGAAGTTGAGTCCCAGGAGCAAAGTTCTACAGCTGGGAACCTCAAAGCCTCTGAGAGCCAAGTGCTCCAGTGTGCATGTGATACAGGGTGGGGATCACATCTACACAGGGTTATCTTCCCCTTCAGGTCTTGCAGTCTGCGGGGAGCATAGTCTCAGGAGCCTATTGGCCAGGCAGCGAGTCATTACAGGCTGGCACATGGCGGAGACTTCCTTATTGCTCTAAAAGGACTGGGAACTAGTCCTGATTTCAGAGAGCTACAGTGAGACACAAAGATCTAATCAAGAAGCCTCCTTTACACAGGTACTGAGGGCAAGAGGAGCAGGGGGGCACTTAACAGCTCTCAGCCCAGCCATCTATTTAACTGCTTGACAATGGATTTAAGTGCCCACCTTTAGGCAATCACTTGGGAAGTGGTGCCTTAAATGACTCACCCGAGGTCACAAAGCGAGTCAGTGCCAGAGCTGGGGAATAGAGCCCAGGCACCCTGATGCCCAGTTCATCTTGGGACATACTGCTTCCCAGCTGCTCACACAGCTCGCAAGACTCTGGCTGACTCAGGGTTTCAAGTGCTAGGACATGAAGCAGATGTAAAACACACTAACCTGAAGTGTGAGAGCTGTATCTGGCACTCGTCCCTAGTGGTTCTTGCCTTGAGCTCCTCTCTGTCCTGGACGGGGCACCAAACCTTAGCACTGAGGAGGTCGGTGTTGCTAGTATAAGCCCTTGCCTGAGTCGCACTCCCTGCACAGTGCTTGAACACTAGCTGACACGGCTTCTGGAACACCGAACCATGGGGCCCACAGTACACAACAGGGCTGATGAGGGCCTGTGAGCTGGACAGCGGGGGAGAATCCGACAGGTCCCAGATGAGCACCAAAGAGACCTTCTTTGTCTGTCCCAGTGCTACTGCCCCTGCAATCATAATGAGCAAGGCTGAATGTTAGTCTCACACAGACCTGCTCCAGCTCTTTCTATGGTGATTTCCCATCCCATCCCCCCCCTTCCCCACCCCCAATTCCTCTAATCTTATGCATCACATAAGATTACCCAGGGGGACACGACAAAGTGCCGGATGAGTGTGTTGTGACTTGCTCAGTGCCCATCCCCAACTCTGGGTCCATTAGGAAGGACCATCTCTCATAGGAAGGTTACAAGAGCTATTGCATCACTCAGCTGACTACCACTAGAGGAAAGACAGTCCTTCCTTCATAACAGTCCTTCAGGAGACCTAGGATGGGTCCACAGCACAATGAAGGTAAGACTGCAGCACAAGGAGAAGCACCTGAGGTCTCTCCAATGTGGCTAGCATTGGTAACCATACTGGGGAAGGTGCAGTGGCATAGAGCTTAGTGTGGGCTGTACCTCCCATCAGGGACTAGGTACATACTGGGGTTACTAGCTTGGTTTCTTTACTGCTGTTACTGTCTCCAGTTTGATTAAAGTTTAACAGGGATATATCACCTCCTGACCCAGTTGCACCTTCATTGTGCTATGCAGATACAACCCCCAGTGCCTTTTGTTCTGCTCATCCACTCCTTCCCCAATCCCCTGGCAAAGAAGATGGGTTTGCAGCCTGCCCAGAAGGGTAGCCTAAGTGGGGAAGTGAATTTCAAAGCTTTGGGCCTTTTGAATAGGCTGGCTCTCAGCTCCACTCTTCCACATCAGTGTGGACTGCCTCTACTGGCTACTGACCATCCCCTTCAGACTCTGTCCCCTCAACTGTTGATGACCCCCTGCATCTTCAGCTCCACTGTTAGCATCCAAAATAAATCAGCGTTAATACATGCGAACGGCCTATCTCCTGGTACAACATGGGGTGAGAGATGGCCATAGGAAGGAAGCAAAGATAAAGGGGCTGGCAAAGATTTACCTGGTGGAATGGCTAGTGAGATGCCCATCTCCATCAGCATGAGACAATCACCCCTGTGGTCCACCTCCTTGCCTACATAGACCAGCAACTTGTTCAGCAGCTGCTTCACCACCACCCTGCCCCCAGTTGGAGTGTGCAGTTCCCGATAAAACCCCTCCACCTCCTCCAGAGTCACCATGGGGCAAGGCATGGTAGACAGCACCTCCAGGTTGGGAAGGGGCACAGGGATGGAGTCCAGCGTGCCCTGCCTGCCTCTTCGTTCCACATAGTGAAGACAGGGCAGCTGGGGGCACCATGAGTACAAGCATTTACTTAAGAGCAGGACAGAGGTGACAAAGATAGAGACCACTGTGACCCGTGTTAAAAGACTCTGCTCAAGGAATCTCTCCATGAGCCCCTGGGCACCAGCTCTGCCACTTTTCCTTCTCCCAGAACTCAGAAGTGGTTTAGACTAACAACCTCCAGTCACATCAAATCTGCCAGGATCGTAGCAAGGCAATGTACTTTGGAACAAGCTCCTTAATCATGGACTAGTAGTGCAGCCCTGTTACAAGGACTCATTTATGGAGCTCTGAATCCCCAAAGTTATCCTCATTCTATAGTGAAGTTTTCCCAGTGATTGCTTCCTTCATATCCAACAGGAAGTGGGCCAAGATGTGCCCCAAGAATGCTCTTTCATCAGGGCCAGCTAGACAACTCGTGATACCAGGACGCAGAGGAACACGTAGTCATTTAAGCCAGACGCTACCAATGTAATCCTCAAAACCCTTAAAAACACACAGCAGCAGGATGTAGAGGATGGTGATGCAGCAAGACAGTGTTGAGAGTCTTTTTTCAGTGTTAGTGATGCAAACAAAGCCCTGAGCTCTGTTCCTGATGGTACAGCTGTGTGGCTGAACAAATAACTGTTTATTACAGTCATGGATTTAAGACACAGTTTCTCTTTCTCCTTCTCTGTTAGGACAGGGCAGGGATGTATTTGTTCTGCTTTTTCTTTTCTGCTTAGCCAACCGCTAATAAATCATCTTACAGCTTCCTCCTGCAGTCCTGAAAGGAAAACAAGGTGTAATGCGTGTTGTGAGATACTGGCACTTTCTGATCTCCACATCAGCAAGCAAACAGTGTGGGACTCCTCCCATTCATCTTTCTTTGCAAACCTCTTCTTGAAAAAAAAAAAAAGAGGTCTCAGAATCTAGGCCAAACAAAACCAAATCAAAATTAAACACAATTAAAGGCCCACAGTGACGCTGTACCTCATTCACAAAAGCAGCCCAGTCGTCAAGGCAAGAAACAGCCAGACTCTGCCACAGCAAACACAGCTTTTGCCAGGAACAAATCTGTGTATTTGATGGTGAATGAAGCCCAAACAGACCCTGTCTGGAGTTTGTTTGGTCCAGGTAGACTCTGAGCTGGTGTTTAAAAGGGCTCAGGGATGCTTGGCTTGCTGTCTGCTAACACCATCGTCTCTACTAGTCACACGAATCACACAGGCATTTTAAATGCCTTCCTCTCTGGGAATTTGGCAAAAGCTTTGCAGTACATGATTGCAGAGTGACAGTCACAGTGACAAATGAAGGTCATTCACAATGTTCACTGGTGGGTTCCTTTCCACAGCCTCTTGGAAACAGCAGTTGCAATCCAGCGGGGGTAGGAGTTCAGACAGTGCTCCACTCATTTCCCTCCTCTTGATTTTTTACCTGTCACCGTCTCTAGACTCCATTGGTCCATACACACAGACACATTATTTATGTTTCACTCCATCCTGCAAGTTTCTAGTAATTTGCATCCTGCGGATTCTCAGTCATTTCTCAAACGGTCATGGAAATAAATGACGACATGTCACATGCAGCTGTTTTGTAGCTCTCTAAACTCTGTATCCTGGTGATGTCTCTTATAAGTCCTATAATTTAACTGTGGAGGATTGTAAAATAAGATCATTTAAATACTCTTCTGCAGAGGTCTCTGGCTGTGAAGGCTCCACAAGGTCTATCACTCCAAACAGTGGTGAAGCTTAAATGTTGTTATTTAGTTTTAACATGGAATGGAAAATAATAAAAGGCACTTGGAAAGTGTGCTAAGATTGGAAAACACCGAGTCCGGAGCAATCCATCTATTGTCCCCTGGAAAGCTGGAGAGTGATTCACACATTACACATCTGCTGCACATTATATAGCTGTCTGCAGAAGTCTTGAACATGCATCTGTTTGGGAGATGGTAGAGAGGGAAGCTCGCTTTAACCACCCTGTGCTCCTCTGGCTTGCATCACTGACACTGAAAAACAACAGAAGAGGAAAAGGGACCGAGTTACAATATGAAAAGCAAATGATATAGATCATAATTAGAACTGGCCTAACTTTCAGTCACAGTGAAAGATTTTCACAATTTTCATTTTTAGTGGAAAAGGTTTTTTTCTAATGAAAAAAAAAAAGATTTAAACAGTCCTGATGCAAACTGAGACACACTGGTAAATGCAGAGCCAGAATGGGTTTTGTTTCCCAGTTCTCAGGGAAGCCTGAATTAATTCACAAAGAATTAGAAAGATAGAAGAGACTTTGAGGGTCATTTGGGCCCATCTGCATACATGAATGCAGGACTGCTATTCCTAAATCATCCCTTATCCAGTCTCCTTTTGAAAGCCTCCAGTGCAGGAGACTGCACCACATCTCTGGGCAATCTGTTTCATTGCCTCACTGTTTTAATAGTGAACAAAAGGGGTGAGAACCTGGCTTCATTTGGGGTCTACAGTAAGAGAACCACTAACTTCATTTTGGGCCAGGATTTCATGCTAAGGATATGTCTGTCTACATTTATCACTGCAGTGAGTGCAGCTGGTGTGGACATGCCTAAGCTAGTTTTAAATTATCTAGCGTGGGTCCTGCTAAGCAGCATGGCAACAGCAGCATAGAGCATAGCACGAACGAGGTACAGAATTATTTAGTGAGCTTCTCCAACTGCCAAGCTACACTCGAGTCTTACAAGCCACTGGCCAGGAATGACAGCAGCATAGATATACCCTGCATTAAGAGGTGGCTCTGTTCTGAAAAGTATCAAGACAGATTTTTAGGGACTGCCAGAACATTACCTACTGAGGAGCCTGAATCAAGTGGGCTCAGTTAATACATACAAAGGCAATTTCCTTAGATTGCAGATTCCCATTCTGCAATCTTAACTGGAGTCAAACCAGGATCTTCCCCCTTCACTAGTAAAGAAGCTCTCTGCAAGCTCCACCCCAGAGCTGACTGCAGACTCCAAGGGCGCTACTGCAATCAACAGCCTCCCAGTGTATACCTGGATTGGCCTACATTTAAAGAGATTTCCTAGCATAACCGTGTCAGTCGAGGGAGGAGGCATTTCCTACTGCAGAGCACCTAACGCTAGATACCACAATATGTGCCATTTGAAAGAACAACAGAGCTGCATGATTTTTGTGGTCACCTAAACCTTGAGAAGGGTGAGGGTTTGTTATGAAAGACCTGGTGCAATACTGCTGCCTCCACTCTCTCTTCTGAAATATTTTCTTCCCGTATTTGCTTTTTACTCTGTAGAGTTTCCTGTAGCCATAAAAAAAACACATTTTCTTCATCTCTGACCGAACGTTGCCTCTCAAATGTCCTCTACAGTAGGGCTATGTGATAGCTTTTCTCTTATCAGCAGAAAAAGTGGCCAGCCATGTCACTATGAGACACTTTCCTAAGCCTTGCAAAGAATATTTGTGCTGTCCCAGAGCTTCTGAGACCAATAGAAGGACTCAAAGAGTTTAAGGAACTTCCTGCATCAGATTTTGAGACATAAGCATATCACTTTTATTCCTAAAGCCTTGACTAAGGACATTTATCCTTGTATAATTTAGGGCTTATCTGTGCTTGAAAGTTCATTCAAATTAAGTTCTGAAGCCACAACAGCCAGTCCTGATAAACCTCAAACATAAACCTGAGATGAAATATGTTTTTAAACTGATGTCGTTAAGCCAATGAAATCCCTGTGTGGCCACGCATATGCTGATTTTGCTGAAATTTGGTCCCAACTGACTTCAGGTAAATCAAGATGATCACTCAAACAAAATGGAGAGCCTGAACACAAGCCTTTGCTCTTGTCTAACTAGATCAGCCTAAATTCACACCATAGATTATTCCAGTCCAACATTCCTGCATAGACATAAGCCTATTCTTGCCACCCTGAGATGACAGGCTAAGGGTGGGTCTACACATGCTCATTTAATGTGCATTAGCTGGATTTAAGGCGCATTAAGAGTGCGTTTCTACACATGCACATCCTTAATGCACCTTAAAATGGCAATCTAAGGCTATTCATGCATAAATTTGATACCTGCTTTATGCAGGTATCAAATTTATGCATGAATAGCTAAAGCGCATTAACCAATGTGTAGACACGCTAATGCACATTCATCGGTGTGCGCCCATTGACAGGACTAACTTTAGTCCCAAAATCGGCCCACACATCCGTGTTAATGCGCATTAGCGCATCTACGTGTTTGCCAACGCAGTTTAGCTATTTGCTCAAAAATTTGATACCTGCTTTATGCATGCACATGTAGGCACGTGCCTAAATTGCCTTAATAAGTTTTAGGCAAATGCGCATTATGTTTAGGCATGTGTGAAAGCACATGTTGACATGCCCTAAGAGAAATAAAGGATTGAGCCCCCTTATGAACCTTAAAGATGGCTGCTTCAGGCAGTGTTGAAACCAAGTACATATATACAGCATGGGAGCAACAGCATAACTAAGCAGCAGTCCTAGATGCCAACTTTGTGGGACAGAAACTGCTTCTGCCTCACAATCACACTGGCAGCACAGTGACAGTTAGAAATCGCTGCTTCACCCACACGTCCTGCTGCCCCAGGTGTCTGGACTCCTTGCTGGTTTTTGCATGGGAGAGTGGTGTACGTGGGAAAGGCTGCTCTGTTGCTGGTGGTGCTGCATTTATCTGGGAACTAGAGGTCACTGGTTTCCATGATGGTCAGGAGAGCACTAGAAATCATTGAAGCTTTTCCATGTGCCAATTAAACACAAAAGCATCATAACCAGAAGCAACACAAATGGCCAGTAGCTTAAAGGTCCAGCTAATAAAGAGCAATGCCAATCTGAACCCCAAGGGCCACATCAAGGAACATATTCCCAGCAAGCTTCAAAACATGACGGCAAGCATTATTTCTGTAAGGTTGGCATGGGAATACAGCCATGGGTTCAAACACGGTGTCCCTCAAGTGCCATGTACGCAGAGACATCAGCAACCCACCCTGCTAATAACATTTTGTCTACTAGCAATCCACTCAGATGGCACTGTATTGGGAGGCTAGGTTTACAAACATGGTCCTAAATAGAGGGAATAGATTTGATTCAGTTTGTGTGCCTGGGACACAGGAGAGGCACAAAGAACAGCTTTGCTTTCTCCTATAAAAGCTGCTCTTTGGCTCATAGCTGCTCTTGTGTACACACCACCTTTCTCTCTCTCTCGTAAAATACCCAAGATCCTCGCTCCAATAGAAGTGCAATGCGAGTGCCAAAGAGATAAGGTGTGTAACTGTCCATATGCCTGCCCTTATCTCACAATAACTAAAACCTAATTGGGGTAATTACTCCGTAGAAGAGCAGAGCTAATTTTGCATGGCTTAAGTTTCACTTACTGTGGGGTAAGAGTGGGCACATGGCCTGATAAGAGTACAGAAGCTGCTCTACTTCTAAGTCACCACATGCTTTAAACCCTGTGCAATATGTTTATCTGTCTATATTCAAAAAAAAACCTTATCAGCAGGGAAGCGTTTAAAACACCCCCTGCCCCAGAAACAAAGGGTTGGATGCTCAGGTGGTTCATAGATTCATAGATGTTAGGGTCGGAAGGGACCTCAATAGATCATCGAGTCCGACCCCCTGCGTAGGCAGGAAAGAGT